AGCACACCACACACGCACGCACGCACACACGCAAGCACACACACTCTCAATCATCTGATATAACCCTGCTGCTGGTCAGCGCGTGCGTGTGTGTGTGCGCTTGTGTGTGCGTTTGTGCGCTGAAAGTGAAGCAGCCATGAATGCTCCGAGATTCAGACTGGAGCTAATACACACTTCAGTTTTACACACACCCCAACTTTTATACACACACACACACACACACACACACACACATGTTTGTTTTTGTGAAAAGTGAGGACATCACATAGGTTTCCATTCATTTTATGCAGCCCAAGCCGTATATTGTATTGCCCTCACCCCACCCCACCCCTAAACCCAACCATCACAGGAGTCAGTGTGCAGCATTACTCTCCGATTAAACTCATTCTGTAGGATTTATAAGCATTTTGAGAAATGAGGACGTCACCAATGTCCTCATATTTCACCTCCTTTTTGTAATACCTGTGTCATACCCATGTCATTATACAGATTTGTGTCCTGATATGTCACAAAAACACGTACACACACACACACACACACACACACACACACACACACACACACAGTCAAACACCTGCTGCTTTGAGATGCATCACTTGTCAACCTGCAGGACTCGAGGGTGATCACTGTCTGTCCCTCATGTATAATTGTGTGTGTGTTTGTTTGTGTGTGTGTGTGTGTGTGTGTGTGTGTGTGATGTCTCGGTGGTCGTCTCGCTCTCGGCTGGTAATGCTGTGGTCAGTGGTCAGGTGTCTACATTAAGCAGTAGCGGTACAGAAGCGTCTGCATGTGTGTGTTCAGCGTGTGCAGCTGTACACCGCAGCTCTCCTCATGCGCTGTTGCTGTGTGTCAGTACTCTGCCGTGCTCCTCCTCCAGCTGGAGGTGTTCGGGGTGTCGTGTGTATTTCGGTTTTAATCTCATCAGCTCATATATGACACACGCGTGTGATCCTGACCGCAGAGCTGCACACGGCTGGTCTCTCGCTGGTGGGTGTGGTCTAATATGATGGTGTTCAGCTTGATCTGCATATTGATGATGACTATAAACTCCAGACATGACGAGTCTGCGGCGGGCGCTCTCCAATCCGTTATATCTGTGCTCTGTTCAGCTTTACGCCTGCACTGTGACTGAACTCAGAACAGCTCTCAGACAGGAGACCTTTACTCCAGGAACACGAGAGCTGCTCTCCGGCCTCAGCGCCTCCATCTGCACTTTAACATGTTAATCCTTGTTGATTTAATCTTATTTTATAATTGAACTGAATAGTTATTGTGCAATAGTCGAGTGATGTTCAGCAGCTCTAAGAACAGGAGGAAGCGCTGTGTATGTATGTATGTGTGTGTGTGTGTGTGTGTGTGTGTGTGTGTGCGCGTGCGTGCGTGTGTGTGTGTGTGTGTGTGTGTGTGGGTCATGCGGATGTGTCTGAACTCCTCCATATATCTAGAGCAGGGGTCTCCAACCTATGGTTTAATGTGAAGAGCCAGCAGTTTGACACACACTTCCTAATAACAAATTTGCTCAGTTATTATTAATAATTAATGATATTCATCTATGTGAAGACCCTGATCATGTTATTGATTTCTCACAATAGTTGTCATCAATGAGTGGAAACAGATTCATGTCAGTATGCAGCACTTCATTGGTCTGAAAGTGTTTTAAAGTTGTTTAAATATAAACTTTATAACTTTATATAATTTTTTAACTTTGTCATTTTCAATTTTGCACCAATGCAAGTGTGATTTAAAAAGAATAGCCGCAGAAAATATTAGATGCAGTGTGGTGCTGTGGTAAGCTAATTTTATAACAGGTCCACGGGCAGCTCATGTGATCCTCGCAGGCTACCTGGTGCCATGTTGGTGACCGCTGATCTGTAGTCACTGAGCGCTTCAGAAACTGCTGTTTAGCATGGAGTCAGACATCAGACCAAACTAATGAAGTTTCACATCACGTCAGCTGATCCCTGTATGAGGGATCACATTCTGAACTGAGTAATGATCCGCTGCAGTATCTCAGCCTCCACATCAGCACATCCCCACTGCTCTACTGTCATTGAACAGCTGTGAGTGTGTGCGCATGTGTGGGGGTTTCTGAGTAGTGTGTGTGAATGAGTGTGATGGGTGTTTTCCAGTGATGGGTTGCAGCTGGAAGGGCATATGCTGTGTGAAACATATGCTAGAATAGTTGGTGGTTCATTCTGCTGTGGTGACCCCTGATTAATAAAGGGACTAAGCCAAAAAGCAAATGATTGAATTATGAAAGAGCCACAAAACTTTATTACAGGCACTTCATATTTCATTTAATTAAACTCAAAACACCTAATCACAGCTAAATTTACATGACGGCACAGTAATAAACTCATGATATTTACATAATGTTACGTAAAAGTATAAATCCATGAAAACAGGGTGGAGAAGCGATGAACACAGGAGACACCGGTGAAGCACAGCTGATCAGACATGAGTACAGCAGTGATGATACACTATAGCCTAGCAGCTCAATACATCACAGATCTGCTCACTGAATACAAACCCAACAGATCACTCACATCTTTAGGATCATATAAACTAGAAGTTCCAAGAGTTCAGTCAAAGCAGGGTGAATCTGCCTTCAGCCACTAACAGCGCCCCCCGCTGCTGGAATCAGCTTCCAGAAATGATCAGATGTGCTCCAACATTAGGCACATTCACATCAAGACTGAACACACATCTGTTCAGCTGTGCCTTTACTGAATGAGCACTGTGCTGCGTCCGACAAATCACACTATCATGTTTTTCTCTTCTTCAATCTTTTATATCACATTTTACCTGTTTTGATGTTTTTATTTTACTTGTTTCTTTTATTCCTGTTTATGTAAAGCACTTTGAATTGCCACTGTGTATGAAATGTGCTGTATAAACAAACTTGCCTTACATGAGAAATTATCAACACAATCTTTATTACTGCACCATTAGCTGAGCACGAATATAAGAGATCATACTTATGAGAAATTCCGCATACGCGATCACCATCACACAGTTTATCAAACTTTTTAAATTTATGACACATTCATGAAATCTTAATTTCTGTCTTATGCCATTAATTGCCAAGTTATTAGTAGATCTCAGAGTCATTGATCAATCCCGTCACCTGCTTGTGAGTGGGCAGACTAAATTAGCTATGCGTTTCAAAAACGGTAACCCCACAGAAATATATATATTTTTATCAGTAATGACAGTTTTTATTCTACACGATATACAGATTAAAAAAAAACGAAAAAATCTAAACAAAACATTGAAAAACGGCCGAGATATAAAGGATTAAACCTGACCGGAAGCACACTCAGCTGAGGACACACAGGATTGGTGGAAAACTCGAATACTAATGAGTCTGCTCTATTCTGTAATAAAACGCGATTTTAAAGAGCTTTATAAGCTTAAACATGATGATTAAAGGATGAAAACACAACCTAGACATCAGATACTCAAATTCTGAATGATAATTTACAAACAAGAGCAAAAAACAAACACACACACGATGATGAGAAAAGTCACCATGATGGAGGATGTTGTCTCTCTACATGTGGTCATTGCTCTCAGATCTACTATGGCTTTGGGTTAATGCTCCCAGCGGTCATTCTGAATGGGATTGATGTCGGATAGGTTCTTGCATTACCTCAGGGAAGTGAACTGGTAGAAGCTTGGTGATCTTACGAATTTCACCCGCCAGTTTATTTCTCGAAATATAATTTATCACAGTGAGAGGAGGGCAGACCCAGTTCTCTGGATCTCTGTGATTCAATTATATGGATTTACGGAGTTTCTTAGTGTCAACAGAATTAATTGAATGCTTTAACTCACTTTCCCTCAATCATCTTGTACAATTCTGTTGATTAGGGCAAGGGCTGCCACACTCCCTGGAGTAAGGCCTGGCCTCTGGATGAGCTGGGGTTGGCCTCAAATGGAACCTCTGCAGACTCTTCCCGGGTGACCTGGGCAACCTTGCGGTGTTAACAAAGGGTCACTTGGGTGAGTGGTGAGTATTCAGCCCCCCTGGGTCCACTTGGACAGCACGCAGGGATGGGTGGCCTAGGGGCGAACAGGCCTTAAATGAAGCTCAGTCTTCTACTGGTGATTAGCACCTCCACACAACAGCACATTGCGCACCTACACCACCTGCTCCGGTTAACCACTAACATTTCAGAAAGCTGTAATCTCATACATCTCATTGAAATGAACCATTGTGGCCTTTTTCAGAAAATCTCAGTTCATAGGGACATCACTAACATCATATCTCTGAAGATTTAAACTGAATCAGTCCTAGATTTCTTCTCCAAATCATCTCTAAATGCGAACATCTGAAATGTCAAGAATTCCTTACTATGATAGTGTTATATATTATTCAATTTGCGCTTACAACACCATAATACAACGACTCTTCATACATATTTTACAACAAAACATTCAGACCCACCCCGAACATGCATATGAATAATAATATAACACAATCAAATACACTAGAAATAATTAGCAAGGAATAGGCCTCTGATTCACATCAAATCGTTAAACAAGAGTACATTCACTTCCATCACACAGCAATTCAGTATGAACGATTCAAACCTTTCAATGATTCATTCAATTCAAGTAGTCCAGATCTTTAAACTGTAAAATGATTCCTTTAGTTCTAGTAGTTCGGTTGATCACAGATTCAGTTCAAACAGTTCAATGATTCACTCATTCTAGTAGTTCAATTAAGCACAGATTCAGTTCAAACAGTTCAATGATTCACTCGTTCTAGTAGTTCAATTAAGCACAGATTCAGTTCAAACTGTTCAATGATTCACTTGTTCTAGTAGTTCGATTGCTCACAGATTCAGTTCAAACTGTTCAATGATTCACTTGTTCTAGTAGTTCGATTGCTCACAGATTCAGTTTAAGCTGTTCAATGGTTCACTCGTAGTTCGATTGCTCAAAGATTCAGTTCAAACTGTTCAATGATTCACTTGTTCTAGTAGTTCGATTGCTTACAGATTCAGTTCAAACTGTTCAATGATTCACTTGTTCTAGTAGTTCGATTGCTCACAGATTCAGTTCAAACTGTTCAATGGTTCACTCGTAGTTCGATTGCTCACAGATTCAGATCATACAGTTCAATGATTCACTTGTTCTAGTAGTCTGATTGCTCACAGATTCAGTTCAAACAGTTCAAAGATTCACTTGTTCTAGTAGTCTGATTGCTCACAGATTCAGTTCAAACAGTTCAAAGATTCACTTGTTCTAGTAGTCTGATTGCTCACAGATTTAGTTCAAACAGTTTAAAAAAATTCACTTGTTCTAGTAGTTCGATTGCTCAGATTCAGTTCAAACTGTTCAATGGTTCACTCGTAGTTCGATTGCTCAAAGATTCAGTTCAAACTGTTCAATGATTCACTTGTTCTAGTAGTTCGATTGCTTACAGATTCAGTTCAAACTGTTCAATGATTCACTTGTTCTAGTAGTTCGATTGCTCACAGATTCAGTTCAAACTGTTCAATGGTTCACTCGTAGTTCGATTGCTCACAGATTCAGATCATACAGTTCAATGATTCACTTGTTCTAGTAGTCTGATTGCTCACAGATTCAGTTCAAACAGTTCAAAGATTCACTTGTTCTAGTAGTTCGATTGCTCAGATTCAGTTCAAACTGTTCAATGGTTCACTCGTAGTTCGATTGCTCAAAGATTCAGTTCAAACTGTTCAATGATTCACTTGTTCTAGTAGTTCGATTGCTTACAGATTCAGTTCAAACTGTTCAATGATTCACTTGTTCTAGTAGTTCGATTGCTCACAGATTCAGTTCAAACTGTTCAATGGTTCACTCGTAGTTCGATTGCTCACAGATTCAGATCATACAGTTCAATGATTCACTTGTTCTAGTAGTCTGATTGCTCACAGATTCAGTTCAAACAGTTCAAAGATTCACTTGTTCTAGTAGTCTGATTGCTCACAGATTCAGTTCAAACAGTTCAAAGATTCACTTGTTCTAGTAGTCTGATTGCTCACAGATTCAGTTCAAACAGTTCAAAGATTCACTTGTTCTAGTAGTCTGATTGCTCACAGATTTAGTTCAAACAGTTTAAAAAAATTCACTTGTTCTAGTAGTTCGATTGCTCAGATTCAGTTCAGTGATTCACCCATTCTAGTAGTGCGATTGCGCACAGATTCATTTCAAACAGTTCAATGATTCACTTGTTCTAGTAGTTCGATTTCTCAGATTCAGTTCAAACTGTTCAATGGTTCACTCATTTGAGTACTTCAATTGTGCACGGATATATTTTAACCAGTTCAGTGATTACTCATTTCAGTTGATCAATTGCGCACATATTCAGTTCAAACAGTTCATTGATTCACTAGTTCTAGTTGTTGGATTGCTCACAGATTCAGATCAAACGGTTCAATGATTCTCTTGTTCTAGTAGTTCAATTGCTCACAGATTCCGCTCAAACTGGTCAATGGTTCACTCTGTAGTTCAATTGCTCAGATTCAGTTCTAGTAGTTTAATTGCGCACATTCATTTCAACCAGTTCAGTGATTCACTCATTTTAGTTGATCAATTGCTCACAGATTCAGTTCAGTAAACAATGATTCACTTGTTTCAGTAATTTGATTACTCAAAGATTCCGTTCAAACAGTTCAATTGCTCACGTATTCAGATCAAACAGTTCAAAGATTCACTTGTTCTAGTAGTTCGATTGCTCA